TCTCTCTCTGTCTATCTTGGTTATAGGAAACTATACAACAATGGCTTTACTTCAGTCCAAGGACATGCCTTCAATGGAACAAAGTTGGATGCTGTGTAAGTCAAGGGTAGTCACGGAAACTATGATCCTGCCCACACACTTCCTGAAGAGTTAGAGTATCATGCTCTCAGTTGTCTTGTTGAGGTGGAATGGGGCATCATTAGGATTGATTTCAGTCATTTTTTAAAATATATAATTATAGGGGAAGTTATAAAGGTGTCTGTATAGTTGTATGAATTCTTATCAATCAGGTTTATTTACAAAACTAAAAAGACCCTCTTTCCATCTTAATTTTATCCTACTGATTATTCTCACACAATCCTTCATTTACTTCTTACCATAATTATCAAACACCTACAGGGTGCTAGGAACTGTACTGTCCACTGGCATTGCAAAGATAAATAAAAGCAGTGTGCTCCCTGCCCACAGTGAACATGAAACTCTTATAGTCAACTCAAGGGTAGCAATATCAAAGATCAAATGGCATTGTGGAGACATGTAAATCCAATTCAAAATATGTACCATAAAATAACCAAATGCTAAATATCCAAGAACCTCCTTGCAGAGAGACATAAGCATGATTTTCTCTGGATTTATTTTACCTCCTGGTTTTTTAATTGTTAACATTAAAATTTAATATTACATGAATCTCACCAAATATTTTCCTCTTTGATTCAACTGTTCTGAGAAAGCCATGACCCTTAGGGAAATGGTCTTCCTAATTCAAAATTTCTATAGAGTATTGGAACCTCCTAAAGTAAGATACTTTGTAGATACTTAAGGTGTACAAATTTTAGACTATGGTGCTCTTCTAGGTGTTGGGGGTCATCAAGAGGTTGAGACTGAGACAACAGAGAACCACATTCATGAGGATAGGGGTAGCAGTATTAAAGAAACTGTCAAGCAGGGAGATCAGAGCTCAGAACACAGCTCCTAAGTCACTGTGTCCTGCTCATTCTTGCTTGAACCAACACTGTTTTCTACAGGCTGGTTGAGCAAAAGGATCTAAAACATTGACTAGATGGCAATTCATTCCTCAAAATTTTATAAGCAAAGGATTTTTAAGCCCAAGAATATGAGCTATGCTTCAAATTATTTGCTTCTTTATCTTGTCATATTTAGTTATTAGAAAGTATGGTCCTCAAACCTTCTCAGTTATTTCTACAGTGCAGAGATTTAGAATATAAAATATAGGTAATACACAGCAGTGGTTTTAAATATGGCCAGAAAAAAATAAATAAAATAAAATAAAAAATAAATATGGCCAGAATTTGAAACCACCTGAGGAGTTTTGAATGCACTTCTGGCTAGGTTTTGCCGCCAGATTTTTTTTTTTTGTACTGGGAATTGAACTCAGGGCCGCATGCCTGCCAGGTAGGCACTGTGCCACTGAGCTATATCCCCAGCCCACCATCAGACATTGTGGATGTCACCAGGGCAGTGGCTTTCCAGGTGAGTCCAAGGTGATATAGAACCAAAGTTAAGAACCATTTCTGTGGATTATGTTCTCAATCATCTTATCCAATTTTCCTATTTCACATAAGAAGGGAATAAAACCCAAGGAGGACACATATATTTTTAATGTGGCTTTTGAAATTTGATGGAACATTCTAGTGCCTGAGCCAATGCAGAGACCTAGATCCCAGCATTATTTTCCCCTGCTCTCTCCTGTAATTCATCACTGGTGATTTATCTGCCACAACCAAAGCATGAACACCCAGCTCCTCCAGCTATTGCTCCGTGTTTTTTAGACCTGGAGAATATGTAGGCTCCTTAGCTCAGTCCATCGCAAATATGAAATACTGAAGTTAAAATAGCTGGCACCTACAAAGAACAAGGTTACGTAGGAGAAAGAATTCAACTCAAAACTCCAGAACATAGCAAGAGTTTGGACAACAATCACACCAAGTGTCATTGGTCAGTGTGAATCTGACTATCAGTGCTGAAAGGCACCCATTCAGTGAGCTTCCAATGGAAGTTGGGGTGGGACAACTTGAGGAAAAGTCTGGAATGGTAAATGTTATCAAATTTTAAAATCGAGGTTGAAGTTAGGCCATGTATATTGACCACTGGCTTCAAAACATCTTACTACTGACCATTGCTGATCTCCTGGTCATTTTAAGAGAACTCTGCAAAGAATTCAAGGGCTTTCTCAGGAGGGTTGTTCTATAATCAGGAGATTTTGCTGTGCTAAGTGGATCTCAGTGTAGACCTAGCAGCCTGTATAGTTTTGGCCATAAAGTTAGAATACCAAAAGGGTTTAGAGACGTTTCCTACTGAAGAGATGGAAAAACTAACAAGAGAACAATAAACCTCCCAGCTCTTCCCCCAATTTCATGATAAAAGAATAAATTGGGGGAGAGGAAGCACTTCCCAAATTATGTTCCTTGAACTCCCTTTCCAGGGTAAGTCAATGAGTGTTACTTTAAAGAAGAAACTCATGATCTTATAAGAGTCATCAAAGTACATAGATGGAACTTTTGGGTCTTACAGGACAATCTGAATTCAATGTCCAAGAAAGAGCTATGCAGTATGTGGAGCTTCTGAGATAACTCTTGGTTTTACTAGCATTGCTTCTGGCATCATGTCGCACAGAACATTTCTGGGGGCACAATTACTTCTAGGAGCAAGAGAGAAAAAGAGTTATTTCCTGGTCTCAATACAGAATATTCAACCTCAGGTCACCAAAATGTGAGGAGATTTTTTTTCTTTATCAACAGCCAAATTCTGCAGCAGCCATCAAGGATAGATATTCTATTTAATTCAACTCTGACACTATCTACCTAAAGGTATTGTCATATCCTGCAGATTAAGTATCCCCCAGACCACACCCACTTCCGATGCAATTCATAAGCCCCTGTTTATGACCTGTGTTTCTGTCCAATCAGGAACACACTGGAGGTGTCAACTCTTTTCCATTTAACTAATTTGCTAGATCAATACACATAGCTTAGGGAAAAACTTTATTTATGTAATATTGAAAGACCATAAAGGTGATGATGTATAAGCCAAAGTACATGAGAAGAAGTACAAAACTTTCATCCCTTCTCTGGGCATGCTACTCTCCAGGAACTTCCATATTATCAGGTATCCAGAAACTCAATAAAACCATGTGCTTGCAGGGGATGGGGTGGTGGGGGCAGGGTATGGAGGATTCAGTCATAGGCACGACTGATTACACCATTGGCCATTGGCGACCAACGCAATCATCTTCAGTTGCTCTTTTCTCTTCCAGAGGTTGGGATGATGGTACAAAGTTAGAAGTCTTGACCCTCTAATAATGCCATGATCTTTCTGGTGACCAGCCCCTGTCCTGAAGCCAGTCACCAGTCAGCATGCAAAAGATACTCATTACTCAGGAGATTCTAAGAATTTTAGGTGCTGTATGCTGCAAAACAGAGATCAAGACCAATGTCATACTACTGAAAAAGAATCTTTTAATACAGCATCTTGTTGGGAGGCAGGTAAATTTAACAAGGTGTGCTCTAGAGGCAACATGCAGAGAGGACTGTAACTGGTAAACGTTTCAGGTTATCTGACACTCTTGTGAAATTAAACCTAGGAAGAGGGTATGCAGAGGGATTCAGTCTTCCCAGTAGGTTTCTCCTCAGATCATATTATGAGCTCTGTAAGAGTGTTGGCTAGTAGACTGACAATGAATTTTAATTCACTGGTGCCTTTATTTACAATCTGTTTTAGCCACCAGAACTACCCCTTGAAACACAGGGAAGAAATCAGTGTACCATTTTCAATATTCTCAACCTTGTGTTAAATATTAGAATTACTTGAGTCAAAAAAAGTGACAGGGCTGTGGACATAGTTCAGTGGTAAAAGCACTTGCCTGGCAAGCACAAGGTCATGGGTTCAATTCCCAGTACCAAAAAAAAGGGACAAATATTTCTCAGTTAACAATCCCTCGTTTCCTGATTTTTAAAAGTCCAGATTAGGGATCAGCAATCTTTCTGGAAAAGGCCCAGAGAGCAAATATTTTGGGCTTTGTGGAAGAAATGGTCTCAGGTCCACCACTCAACTCCACTGCTGTAGTACAAAAGTGGCAATAGTCAATACAGAAACAAACGAATGTGGCTGTTTCAGTAAAACCTTATTTACAAGAACTAGTAAAAGGCAGTGTTTGACTGGAGAGTAATAGTTCACAGATCTCTGGTCTAGGTGAAGGCATTCTGTGAAGATGACCATTGTATGGTCAATTATGCCATCTGCCTCTCAATTCCCAATAAAAATTAAAGGACAACCATGAAATAAGAAATATCTGAGGGCTGGAGGGGAAGCTCAGTGGTAGACCAGTTACCTAACGTGCACTGGCTTCAATGCCTAACACCACACAAAAAAATTATCTGGATAAAAAATATTTCAGGGTTAGAAAATTCAGATCAAATTGTAACAGGAAACAAAGATCTCTTTCTTCAGTATTGTGAATGCAGTTAATCATGACTCTACCCTAATTTCTGATTCCTGGTTGACAGGAACTTCTTCTGTCCTTGATTTAACCACATCAATAAAAGGTACCCTATAGATCAGTATGCAATAAGGCTGATGGTCATTATGAGAAGCCCCACAACTGGAGGAAGACAAGGATTGGATTGTATGTAAAGGAGATAGAGGTCAGGTTTCCATAGTAATAATAAAATAGCATTCGCTTTGTTTTGAACATAAGGCTGCTGCTTCTGCTCTTAATGCTTTTTGTGATCTCAAAGTAAAGTAAACCCACAAACGTTCTGTAGTTATCCTAATAGGGTTCAAGGATGGTACGAAGGAACAGCAATTTGGTAATTTAGCCAGAAGTATTCAGATATTTGTTTTACTGGGTATGGTGGTATACACTTGTGATCCCAGCTACTCAGAAGGCTGAGATAAGAGAATCACCTGTTAAAGCCAGCCTGGGCAACTTAGTGAGACTCTGTCTCAAAATAATTTATATGCATATATATTATGTGTATTATTATATATATTATATGTTGTATATATTATATGTTACATGTTATATGTTGTAATTTGATTTGGATGTGTCACCCAAAAGAAGAAATCATTCTTTATG